ACATAATTAATTAAGTTTTGCACTTTATTGTTAATTTTTAATTCACGATCGCGTCACCAATGCTGCCAACTTAAATTCCGATCGCTGTATCAGAAAGGCGAGAAGTATCGATATCTATCGAGTTATATCGACCACTACCGACGCCGAAGCCGAAGCCAGAGATAAGATGGCCGCCGACCGACGCGCACAGTGCGAGTGACCAGAGTATTCTTTAACAGCTTTACGACTTACGAGGACGAATAGTACAGAATTGATGGAATCAGTATTTTTAGAACGTTAATTATGCGAACGTAACACTTGCCGTTATGAGGTGTTCAAGAACGTTCGTTTTCGTTCACGCTTTGGCGATGCTTGCGATCGTCCATTGCGAAGTCGACGACGACGGTTACAACGAGAATTATTTCGAAGATACTTTGTTAGTATTTATATTAATAATTAATATTTCTTATTAATAATTAACGGAACTCGCGAATCTTGCAATTTGATAGACTGCAGATTTTGTAATATGCGATNGGCCAGAGGATATTTTGGACCCTCATTCATTTTACTACAAAGAACAAAACGAGCAAGTACTAAAAGATGTTCCCATGAATGGGTTCGTATTAATTTTTAATTGATCTTTAAAACTTAGAATTCTCATTCTTTCTTTGATGTGAAACTAAATGAAATTTGTTTCTAGGGAAGAGAATACTGAAATATCGACTGCAGTAAAGAGTCGTAAAGCAGATAATAATTACAGCATGCATGAAGCTGTTTTCTATAAACGGTTAGTCAACCTATTGCTGGCGAATATTCATATACAAGTAAGTGCTAATGATTTTATACAGTTTGAAGAATTGTTTTGCATATTTTGATATTTGGTGGATTTTATTTATGGTTGAATGCGAGTTTAAACGTTGCATGTGATTGAAAATTTGTTATTTTACCTTGAATTTATTTTTAAGGCTGAGTTCTTGCCTTACATCTTAATCATGCAATGTACCTTAACATTAATTAATTTAATCCTGATGTTTTCTATTTTTGTGTGCCAATCTTACAATTGTTTCCACTTACATTCTCATCCTCTTAACTCGCTTGACTCCTTTTATTCACCATGGAGTTGGTTAAATGCTATGCGAGTTTGAACGTTGTAGGTGGTGGAAAATTTATTATTCTGCCTAACTCGAGGCTGATTTGCCTTTCGTTTTAATTATGCAATGTTGATTAATGTGTGTTTTTTGAAATTTATTTTTGTAAATTGTTTCCCCGTACATCCTCTCAACCTCTCAACTTCCTTTCCTCTTCCTTCACTAATTTTATGCTAATACAAAATATAAAAACCTTTATTGCAATGCTTGCACTCTGAAATGCATTTGCTGTTTCCTCTCCCTTGACTAATTTTTTACTGATGCAAAATATAAAAACCATTATTGCAATGCTTGCAATCTGAAATGCATTTGCTCTTTCCTCTCCCTTGACTAATTTTATACTGATGCAACATATAAAACCGTTTTTGCAATGCTTGCAATCTGAAATGCATTTGCTTGACTGCCTGACTATGAGAACTTAGTTCCAACACAATAATATCTAATCAAAACTAATCATATCTACCTCTGCACTTAATAACATCCAAGGCTTGACTCACATAAATGTGTGTTATAATTACTAAACACTGGTTGATTGAACTAATGATTGAGAGACTGAACTAACATTTGATTAATTAAAAAAAATCAGTGAATCTTAATCGCAGGATAAAGATGAGATATCGATATCCGGGATACTAGAGATTGAAATGACTCATGCCGAGATGAAAACGCTCGAGAACTTCCCAGTGAACAAAACGTCCTTAAGGGACATCGATGAAATATTGAGTAACATAATAAAGAAGCCTCGATTCGATTATATAAATAGCCATGGAGGTAGATATATTCTTGATCTATTCCAACAAGGTATTGGCATGTTATTTGAAACAGTACAGAATAATGTAAGTACAGAGTTAATCGTCTGGGTTTACATTTACAAGGAATACATTTACGGATATTGTGTAGCCCGACGGAGCTCTAATTCTATTTGCCATGCTGATGGTATTCTGTTCTTTTAAAATGTTCAAATGGGGTCAGAGACTCCCCATCGTCGCTCTTATACAAATCATGTTTATACTAAGTTTCTTTATGACTTGGTGGCATCTGATACAAGTGAGTGAAACTAACCCGTTTGCATGTGAGTTTGCTGTGCCTTTCCATAGTGAATGTAGTATTTATTACCCGCAATTATTTATAATTAAAATTTATTGGAAGGAAGCCGAAGCCAAGTTCAGGGCTGAACAGAAGAAGTACACGGAAATGCCTATCTCCTGCCATCCAGAAAAAATGAGTTACTGGGACAAATTCGTTTCATTGTTCTGTAAATACGTACAATCTTTTTATATTAATTATTACTAATCGTTATCGATAGTTTTTATTATTATCGTTAGCTGGGTTTGTAGATCATGACGATTGCGAACAGTATTATAAAACGATGATGTTGAATCCGAAGTTAAAAGTCACTCCGGCGTTCGCGATGTCACATTTTATAACAACCGTAATTCTCTATCCAATCACACACGTGGGCACGATCATATCTGTATTTATAAGAAACGCAACAGGTAATTATTAGAATTAAATTTAGTTTAGTGTTAATCCTCACCATTACTCATAATTATTAACATGTGAAATACCCATCATACAGTAAGTATAATATATTAACACAAACACTAATTAAATTAGTTTTAATTATTAAGATCCTTTTTTTTTCAATTTCTTACTCACAAGTTTAACATTTCCTCTCATTGCTCCTTTAATATTTACACGAGTGAGGATCCTAATCCTTATAAATCAGTGCTCCAACGTTTGATGTATATTGAAACTTCTATGTATATATTTTCTATATTTAATAATATATTTCTTTAGATGATCTGCCGTTCACCTATGGATGGATCGTAAAGTGTATGTTTTACTTAGTCGTGTGTATTGTTATAATCACAATACCGTTTTGGCTATCGAGTGCAGCTATATATTTGCCGTTCGGGTTCGGGATTAGGTACTTCAGAAACAAGAATCAAGGTAATTCATTACCAAGTATAGAAAAACGAGAACCTGTACAAATATATCTTCAGGTAATTCATTAAATCAGCTTTTGTCATCTTTAGAAATGTTCATCCGGAGTTTAATAACAAATTTTATTACGATTCTTTGAATTAAGTTACGTTTAATATTGTTAGGTGTCTCAAGGAACAGGCGTAGCGCAAATAAAAGATACGTCGGAGGCAGAGCGATCGAAACCTCTCAAGGCTGCGTTACCTGAAATCGAAGATGTAACAGATAAATCCGATGATTTGTCTAAAGGTGATGTTGTGGACAAAATAGAAACGAATGATAACAAGAAGAGCCAGGAATGTGAAGAAGAAAGGGTGAAGAAACACGACGGAAGTGGAGATAATTAATAATAATTGTGATAATTAACAATGAGTGTTCAGTTTTTTTATTGTAAAAACGTTACTTACATGTTACAAGAGATGAACTGTTTAATTTTGTACGATGAATTACTAACTTGTTTTTAACAGTG